TATACGAATAATCACATATTGCGTTTTTAAACTATTTGCTTCGAGTTTAGTAGTGATCAAACCAAAACCCAAAATCCAAAATACACGTAATTACGTAATTTTCCAAGTACAAAAAACACTCAAAAAATCATAACTCCCGAACCATAAGTCGTATAACCTCGATCTCAGTACCCATCGATACAGCGCAAAGTCCTCTAAAACATTCGACTACAAAAACAGCTCGCAGCGCCCAAAATCTTAGTGTCAGTACCGAAAACCCCAGAAAACGCAAATTTTGAACTTTCGAAGCCTCAAAAGATTTAGAAAAACGGCTCCTATGGTCTCGACACAAGACGTCGAATTTGATCACCGACCTCCAAGCTATACAAATCTCAAGCTTCAGAAACGTCATACAAAAACTAAATCTTTTCCAAAATACACCTAGGGGGGTGTTCGAGGACCCCCCGGCTCCGGGAGTATGTTTTAGAAGGGTCGAAACCGAAACGTTTGGGAACATAAAAGTATAATATTATCTTACTTGAACGTCATCTACAACTAATGATTTATTGAACTTTAAAAACAATTATAGGTACATATTTATAGAACATTCTATACCAGTAGTTTACTTAGTAACTTGTATAAGTAGTTACCTATTCTTATAATCACATCCATAATAAATCTATTTAGGAGTGTTAAACATGAACAATTGTTTAAAAAATTGATAAACTTTGAATTTCAATTAGGTACCTATTAAAATTAATTATACATAGGTCTTGAAAATGCTCATAATTGAATGTATTTTGTTACAATACGATAATATTAATATGACATGTCTTGAAATCTACTAACGCTGGACAATAGTCAGTAGGTATGATAAATTAGTAAATTTCAGATGTATTTAATATTTGGTGGGTATGCAGGTACTCTATTTAGAACTATTGTGGTCATCTGTTTGTGGATGAGATTAATCCCACCTAGGAGAACGATAAATAGTCAAACCTTATGTTTATCGATAGAGAATTTTATGGATTTTCCATTTAAATGATCGGCGTCACGAAATTCTTGAAGTTAAATAGATAGCTTCAAAAAAACCATTAAAAAATCAAAAAATCCTACAAAAATCGCTTTATCAATAATCATAAATTATGATAACGAATCATTATTCACTATAACCGCGGTTCAGGTTTTAGATTTTTGAAAGTTTTAGTGGGTAGATTCAATCTTGTTCTATGATTCAATCAAAGCCGGATTGAGCTGGGGGGTCTAGGTGGAGCCCTGGGGTCTTCTCAAGTACCACTGTGAAAACAATTTTAAGCTGATACTTTTAAAAAAACACTATAATATTTAAAGGTAATACCTAGAGGTATTTCCTTGTATATTTACTTCTTTAAAAATATATTTGATAATTTCTGTAGCAAATTGTTCTGCGAAGAGAGCTTTTTCTAAATTAATTAGAATAAAAAATAAGTTTAGAAACAGTGAAACACAAGAAAATTTAGACATATAAATTCAACATTAGCCAAGTAAAAAACTACAGAATTATAGTTATACAATTTTAATATTTATGACTAAACTCAACTCGTTGTTTTAAATTACTTGACAATTAAATTTATTTGCAGTTTATTTATCAATAATTAAATACTTTTGTGGAATTTTTATGCAATTTACATATTGCAAATTCTTAGAACTTAAACATTATGTCGTCATTCATCGGTATCCGCCGTTTTTCCCGAATGGTATTTTGCCCTAAAATCCAAAAACCCGAAACCTTTTTTCCGAACGCGTTTTTCCCGACGGTTATTGTTCCCGAAATAAAAAAATTCAAAATTTAATTAATAGCATATTGTCGTAGCCCGCGGCGACGTTGTGGAGATAAAGATAATTTTATAAAAAAGTAGAGGTATCTTACCTTTATCGCACTTCCTCTCCGTTGTATGAACATTTAACTGATTTGTATTTTACACTGATATCATAATTACATTGTAATAGTAGAGTCGCTTACTCGCGTTATTTGCGTGCTATCGGCAGTCGATTGCGCATAATATTGTTTTGTAAGTAATAATTATTAATATTGTTTATTTTATTTTTTATATGTATTTATTTTTACTATACAACATAGGCGGATTGGCCACTTTATACTTACTTATTTTAAAATATAATCGATTTTTAAATATTTAATTATCACTCTATCACAATATGTTTTAAATTATTATTCCTTTATTTTTTATATTATGTATTTATTTTTATTATACAACATAGGTGATTGGCCGCTTTATACTTACTTATTATAAATTATAATATTATTATTCGATTCGGGTAAAAAGTGTTCAGGAAAAAAGATTTAGGGTATACTGACTTTCGGAAAAAATACCATACGGGAAAAAGTTCATTTGGGAATTTTGATTCGGGAAAAATACCGGTAACCTCATTCATCATACAACTCATAATTATTTAGAGAACCATTACGTGCACATTGTTGTCGCAAAAAACCAAAACAACATGTAACGTAGTAATTTCAGCTGTAAGGTCGTCCACAAGCGGTAAGTCAATTTAACTTAATAATTACCCAATATATTAAGTTTTTGGTTACACAATTTTTGGAATGGCCCATTATAATGGCCGTAATTTTCCGGCAGGGCCTCAAATCAATCAAATGTCTATACTCAATACTCTGTTCAGGTTAAGGGTCCCGCCACACCATGCGTTTTGGCGGGTCCGGGTAAAACGCATCCGGTCGACTGGAACAACAACTTGCATTGTTTCTAATCATAGGTGCTACATTAGAGCGTTTTGTCGGGACCTGTCGATTCCTGCCGCGAACCGACCGCAACATGTTGCGGTCGTGCGGGAAACGAACCGGCAGGACAAGTCATCAAAACACATTATTTTAAATCGTGTATGCCACACTGTGCGTTTTAGCCTCTGTGTTTTTTGAATATTTTACCTAGACATATTTTTTTAATAAATATTTATATTTTGAAAAATGGTTTTTGATACCGATAAATTTATATCATGTATCCAAAATAACCATTCCATATGGGAAATTGGATCCAAAGATTATATGGATAAGCATATAAAACAAAAAAGTTGGAATACGATTGGTGAGTACATGTTTGAAGATTGGAGTGAGCTTGAAGAACATGCAAAAGAAAGTAAAGGTAAGGAATCTAAGTTATATTTATATTTATTGTATTGTATACAATTATTATATTATTATACCATGTAAATATAAATTACATTATTGAATAAATTTATTAAAATATTTTTAAATTTAAAAATAATTTTATTCTAAAACTTATATTTTTATTTAAAAATCAAATCATGTCATATTGAAAATCTACTGCTCCTGGGCCCATAAAGTAGTTGGCAAAGTAATCCCTCACTTCAACTCCATGCGAACGAGTCCCTGTTCCACGAGCTTCAATATCTTCTAAGTTGTGCGTTTCAGAATCTTCATAATTTATACCATCTCTTTTACGAACAAAGTTGTGCAGTACGCAACATGCTTTTATAATGTCATCCGTAAAATCTGGCTCCACCTGAATAGCCGTATGTAAAACACGCCATTTATTCGCGAGTACTCCAAATGCACATTCGACTGTGCACCTTGCTCTGGATAATCGGTAGTTGAACACTCTTCGGGAACCAGTAAGGTTACGTCCAGGGTACGGTCTAAGTAAGTTTGCATGTAAAGCAAATGCTTCATCTCCAATAAACACATACGGTTGTGGGTTGGTACTTGTATTTGGTAAAGTAACTGGTTCTGGTATGTTCAATTTACCTTCATATAATTGTTTACCAAATGCACACTCCTTGAACACATTAGAGTCCCCTTCACGACCATATGAACCAACATCGATTACAACAAAATTCAAATTTGCATCAACTTTTGCCATCAAAACGATAGAGAAATACTTCTTATAATTAAAGTAGAACGAACCGGAGTTGTTAGGATTTCTACACCTTATGTGTTTGCCGTCTATTGCTCCTAGACAATTTGGAAAATTTGTTTTAGAATAAAATATATTTGATATTTCCACCCAATCTTCTTTGGTCGGTTTAGGCATCTCTTTTGAATTTAAAGTTGACCATATCACTTTACAAGTGTCTTTTACGATCACTCCAATCGTACTTCTTCCCACACAAAAATCAAATTTTAATGCAGCGAAGCACGTACCTACCAGTAGATAAATATCTAATAAACAAAAAATATATTATTAATAAATACATTTTGATGGGTCGCTTTTTTTAGTTTTTACATTCTGAGCGTAGCAATGAATGCATTAATTTTACAATGTGTATGTTTATTTTTAATATAGGTAATTTTTTTTTTGTGTCTGTGCACACGGTCGAAATTCAAAATTTCCAGAAATTTTCAAAAGCACAGGGAGAAAAAAATAAGAAAAAACGGTTTTTATACTAATTTGATTAATTATTTATAATATTATAAATTAATATAATTATAGTGACCGATCTGAAAGCCAAATGGAGACATATTAGAGACCACTATTCAAAATTTATGAATCAGGGTAAAAGTGGCGATAGCGCTAAAAGAAAAAAATATGTATACGCAGAATCACTGACGTTCTTGCAGCACATAATTAATATATAAATCTAAATTATAATCTTTTATTAATTATTACAATCTTAGTTATATTTAATATAATAAAGATATTTATTACAAACATATTTATAATGCAATCTAAACTCGAACATTTTAGATTTTTAAAAATACTTTGAAACACAAAAATAATATTTTAGTTTTGAATTTGAATTCAAAAATTATCACAGTTTTTGTTAAAAATTACCAAAAAAATTATTCCCCAAGATCAGACCACTGCACTGTGACACATTTTGTATCTACATAATTTTTTTTTTATAATTATTTCTGGTTACGCCCCTGCAGAGTAGTTAGTTTTATTTGATAAGAAATTATAACATTTTCATAATTTTCTAATTTTTAAAAATGTACATAACAAAAAATATTCATGAAAACGTACATCACTAGTAATGACAACTAGATGAATTATTTTTTATTTTCTCATAGGACGACAGGTAATTTCGATGAAAGTGTACAAGAAGAAGGAGAAAATACCGGTGGAGATGATTCATCCCACGAGTTGGTTTTAGATAATGAAATGATACCACCTCAATCCGACAGATATTCAACTCCAAAAAGTAAAAAACAAAATAGTTCCAAGGTACAAAGGATGACACCATTTCAAAAAGAGTTACTAAGCAATTTAGCTACTTCCGAAGAAGATGTAACTTCTGATCCTGATAAGGCATTTTTATATTCCTTATTACCCGATTATAAAAGACTAAACTATGATCAAAAAACAGATTTTCGTCTCATGACTCTACAATATTTTAGAAACGTATCATTAAGATCTAATCAACTACAATCAACTCCACCATATTTTAACATTAATCAAAACACTAGTCAGAATGTCTCTATTCCAACTCAATATTCAAATGTATGTCCTTCATTCAACCCTGGCATGGGGAACAATCAAAATCATAATCTTATGCCACAACCCGTGCCAATATATTCATCTAATTTCAATCCAAATGCTCAACATTCCACATTATATTCTAAAAGCTCATATACTTATACATCTGATCAATCAAAAGAACCTACTACTAGTGGAGAATGGTTTGAACAATTTTAATAGCATAATATGATAAGTAAGTAAAGTTTGAATTATACTTATTGCAATAAGGTGCATCATTTCAGTTTTTAAATTCAAACATGACATTTTTAATTTTTTTTATAAATATTAAAATAACAAGGTTTTGTTATACAGTAAAATATTATATGTTGCTTATTATGTATTAATGAAGTTAAAAAAGAATGTAATTTTTAATTTTTTAAGAACATGAAATTGTTTCATTTTTTATATTTTATAGTTAAATAACGAAGATTGTTATATTTTAATGTTATTTATTTATACTATACTGTTAAATATTATTTAATCTTTGAATAAAAATAAAGTATTACATTTTTTTTTCTTATAATATACTGTTTGTCTGTGTATTTTCATAACCTATACAGAAATTATGTTAAAAAATAAAAATAATAATTTTTAATTTTTGATAACAATAGTCAATAGGTGATTAGACATTAGTGATAACTTATTAATTATTAATAATCATATATATATCACGTTGAAAAAATTAACTTTTATACGTAATATAAAAAAAAAACTTACCTTAAAGTAATTGTTAGACGTTCCTCAGCAGATATCGGATTACGAAATTCTGTGGTATTTTTCGTAATATATGGCCGTAGAGTTTTTAGCAACTCATCAAAACTTGAAATTGACATACGGTAATACTCATAGAATTTATCAGGATATTGTCTAATATTTTCAAAAAATGTCGTAAACTGGCCTATTTTCTCACGATCCGTATTTAGTGGGTGTACCCAATACCTTCGTTTTGCTTTCGGTGGATCTAATAAGCTTAATGCTTCGGCTACAGCAACAAATTTATTTTTTTGACGATTCATTTAATCTATATTTAAATGTATCATACCTTCCAATACTTACCAAAAACATCAACTTGGATGATCTCGATCGGGAATGGAGGAAACTATCTAACATGGAAGGCGTTGAAGACTTGACTGCAGATATGGATATTTTAACATTTTGGATAAAAGTGATTAATATTACAAAAGGGGATAATACTAAAATGTTTCCATTATTAAAAGTCGTAATCAAAAACATAATGACTCTTCCTCATTCGAGTGCAAGCAACCTAACCGAATATTTTCATGTGTTAATCTTATCAAAACAAAATACCGTAACCGATTAAACACACACAATTTAATAGAATTATTACATACAACACGTGTGATAAAAGACTCGAACTGTTTTTCATATGATTTTGATAATACATTTATGGATTTGTTTAAACAACAAATGTATGAATTTAAAAAATGTAATTTGTTAATAACTGTTATGACGCTATATGACATAGGTAATGTTTATTATTACTTGAATATTTTTATATTTGATTTTTTATAGGTACTTATCATTATATTTGTAATTTGAAAATTATGAGATTTATGTTTAGTTTTAGATGATTTATTATGTATGCTTATGAGTTACATAAGTTATGAGTTTTACATTTTAAATTGTAGTTGGGGGGGTGTGGGGGGCAAAGCCCCCCACGATATTCTGCTACCACAAGATTACAGGGAAATAATAGGGAAATATTGATATAAAATCTAGGGCATTTATGAAAAATCAGTTGGTAACCCTACATAACGCTCAACGGCGGCAGCGGATATCAACCGGTGTCTTTGCCTGTACCTCGTTGCAAGTATAGTGTATTTTGATATTTTAAAATGAGTGCCAATCCATCTACATCAAATGTTTCACCAATTAAGAGAAATCTTAATGGAAAAGTAAGTATTTTTAATATATTATATCTAAAATCGTTATTTAACAAGTGAATTTTAAAATTTTTCATAATTGTAAAAATTTAAAATTTAGGCACACGTAAAATTGTTTTAGTTGATTTACGCTCAATTTTTTTATAATTTTGTAAGGAAAACTTATAGATAACCTTGTATTAAATTGAAATTTCTTAGCTAGAATACAAAAATGTTTATGAATTTTCAACTACAAAATAACTGGTTTTGCGTAAAAATTCCCGTTTTTCTCAAAAATTTGGAAGAAACAGGAGTTGCGAAAAATACTGTTCAAAAGACGATTTCGGACTACAAAAACGAGAGAGTAGTGAAATCGCCAAACAAAAAAAATTTATATTGACGATCAAGGAAAAGGCAGATGGTTTTGAAAAGAATGCGGTTCGCAGAGAAGTACATGTCATAACTTTTGGTTTAAAGGTGAAGTGCCGACACTGGACAACATTTTGAAGTCTGTGAATGATGATGAAGAAATCAGTACAACATATTCCCGGTCTAATTTACATCGTCTTTTAAAAGAACTTGGTTTCATGTATACTAAAATAGGACGTAACAGTGCCATGATAGATAGAGACGACATTGTAATTTGGAGAAACCGGTACCTCGAGACTATCCGTAAATACCGTAATGAAGGGCGGACCATCTACTATACAGACGAGACCTGGGTGAATGCGGGAGAATGCACATCAAAAACATGGGTCTACAAAACTGTCAAACACAGCAGGGACGCATTCCTTAAAGGACTCTCAACAGGAAAAAATCCAACAGAAAAGGCAAGAGATTGATTATTGTGCATATTGGGTCGGAGCAAGGTTTTGTTCATAGCGGTTTATTGTCATCCGAGTAAAAAAAAAATACGTCGGACTACCACGATGAGATGAACGGTGATACATTTTTTGATTGGTTGAACAATGTATTACCGTTACTGGATGACAATTCGCGGGCTGAGAATGATAATATACCAATTATACCCAATAAATATTATATGATACTATATGATAATAATGACACAGTAATATCACGATTAAAGATAGTACAATCGTGGGTAAATATATGATCAATTATAATAAATAACGAAGCATGCGATGTCGTGTGGACTGTAGACTTCTAATTTCTGTTTCTTGCCATCAGGCATCAATTATGTTTAGAACACAGAACACCTGATGTAACTTTGTTTACCCACTACCTTGTTTGCCCACCTACCCACCCACCCACTAAGAAGTTAAGCGATCGCTTCACATGGTATATGATTTCGGCGCCACTGAATGACAGATAAATAATGTATCTCCGTCTTGGACAAGGGTGGGAAATTCATAAACTCAAAAATCGTACTGGAACTATTTGCAATGCCTGATTGGTTGGTATTAATTTTCAATTTTTTTATTTGAGGTTAGAATTCGAACTCTTCATTAAGATTATCAGCTATAATTTCTTATCAAGGGACCTAACTCTTATCTCGGGGACTCAACTGTCCCCATCCCTCTAACTTCATATGAGACTGTATCATAATATTATCTATGCCATAGGCGTATTATTCAATTATTCTGTGATAACTAATACAACCTACCAACGTCTTGCCGGCTTCCAAACATTGATATTGTAATTGATTATCTATGTTTCCAAACCGTTAAAACGTTAATATGTTAAATGTTGATCGATTGAGACTTGCGCTTGTGTACATTTGTTTGTAAATCATTTTCTTTTACGCATTCTTGTTTATGAGTTTTATTATTATTATTCCAATTTATTTTATTGTTGAGTTTTTTTGATTTTACTTCTCAAATACATTATACATCTATCATGGATAGGGGAACAGGGGGCTAAGTGTTACACGGGGCAATGTGTTACAATAGCCGTTACTTTTTGTACGATGTTGGTAACACTGTAATTTTTTTGACCAAATTATCGGCTTCCATGATGGTCAATTAGATATTGATAAGCCAACTCGAACACAAATGAATAGAAACAGTTATTACACAAAACATGAATTTTGATTAAAAAAAAAATTATTTTACGTCCAAGACTTGTTAACTAATTCCCGTCAAATTGTCACATAAGGTAAGTTTTTTAAACTAATTTTCTTACACAATATCTACTCAATGAAATTATGTTGGAATTTCTTTTGTATGTAAAATATTCAATGTGTTATAACTAAAACAACTTAAAATGGCCGAACGGGGCCAATTGTTACGGGGTAAACCCCGACCACAGTTTATAATCATAAAACCGTTACCTACCTATCTTGGTGCCTATTTGATATTTTGTTTTATATTTAGAAGTGATTATTATGGTAAGAAATTACAAATGAAAGACCAGTTTTGGTACAACACCACAAGTTATCTATGATAAAGCGGTCCAAGAAGTAATTGATGGTAAAATGAGCCTCCGTGATGCCGCTAAAAAACATAATGTAAATGTCATGACATTACAACGTTATAAAGAAAAAATAACAGATCCTAGTATGTTTATTATATTAGGTATATTAAATTAATTTTTTTTTAATGTAATTTAATATTAGGTAGTTATTTGGTATATTTTTTTTTAGATTTAAAACTACCTGCTACTTTTACTTGTGCCATGTGTTCAATGGACTATTTTTTTTTTACAATAATTTAAATGGTGTCTAAATTAATTATTTTTAATAACCAAAGAAGGTGTGCCTAATGAAATGATTTTATTTTTAATAATTATGAATATTTAAACTAGTATGTTTTATTTACCAAAGAAAGTGTTTCTAATGGACTGATTATGTTTTTAATTAATTATTTACCTAATTTAATAATTAAGTTTACCTAAGAGTTAATGTGATATAAATTCTAGTATCTAGTTATTGTTATTATATTTATTTCTGTTTAGGTTGTTTATGTTTAACTTTCAATTTTCTAATAAAATGTTGACATATGTTTAATAATTTATTACCTAAGAAAGGTAGTTTGAAAAATGGATTTTGAAATAAAGGTATATTATATAATATATATTATATACATGTATATTTACAATGTTAACAATATTTGTATGCACAGAAAATGTATTTGATTAAAAAAAAAAATGTTTTAATTTACAATAGTTTGTCATTATTCTATTTATAAGTCATTATTAATTATTTGTATCAATTTACCCCGGGTGCTGTAACACATCGCCCCACCATGGGGTAATGTGTTACATTATTTTTTTTTTTTTAAAGAATTTTTTTCATATATAAAAAATATTTTCTAAGTTTTCAATGTCCAGTGACTTCAATAATTATACCTATATATATCTGAAACAGAAAAAAGGGGCCTTTTTTTTGTACTGGTTCCGAGTAAAATCAATAATGACCAAAAGTGTATCATTTAGCAACCTGTTCCCGTACTTCTAATAAAAATGCATCAATATTACAATTTTTAAAAAGAAAAATTTTAAATTCACCACCATGGGCAGATAATTCACTAGGTTCTGATGTGACTAAATCAGGTAATCCTAAATCCATGAAAATTCATGTTACTGAATAGCAACAGCGTAATGAAGAAAAAACAAGCAATGGTGATACAAATGTAAGTTATTTTATATTTTATTTTTCAATTTAATATAGTTATTTTTCTAGCTTTCCTTTGCCTTGAGTTTTCGATTGGCACTTCTTAAAATTAATTTTATTATCTTGAGCGCTTACAGTTCAGTAGTATTGCAATATGTACTACACTTTGTATATAATATTATTTATTTTTCACTTCTTTCTGCAAGACTAAAACAAATTGCTTGACCAACTCTGGTATAACAATAAGAAATAATGAAATTGCTTTATTTATTGATCGCAATTTAAATTATGAAGAAAAAGTAGAGGTATGTTAATTAATAGATATATTTGATATAGAAATTTAAATCGTATATAAACATTTATTTTACTAATGCTATTAATAGTGCACATGCCTATTGTAAATTATGGCTTGTATATAGGTACATGCAATTATGATTAATTAATATATATATATATGTTGGTTATCAGTAGCCGTCGCAACAGGTTGTCCTCCGTGCTCTGATTACCAAAATATATACTTCGTTACCGTTTTAACATGCCTTCAAACAGAGGTCGCAGATCTCCCCAAACCCGTAATCTACCTGACACCTCAAGAAAAAGATCAAATGAAACTCCACTTACTCCACCCTTTCAAAGCAAAAACAAATTTACTCCACTTCAAAACTTCGACGACGAATCTGAACAAGACGGAGTTTCCACAAACGACAACACTCACACAGGTTAGTTCCAAAATACCGCCAATTTATATCTACAATATCTCAAATTACGAATCTTTCCACACTTCTTTATGTAATCAAACATTTGACGACTTCTCGACCACACACACAAAAAATTCACTAAAATTAAATCTAAGCTCTATCGAAGATTACAGATCGATAACAAAAAGTTTCGTAGAAACTGAAATTCAATATCACACCTATCAATTCCAAACTGAAAAACAACTATCAGTAGTCATCAGGAACCTCCCAATTCCTATATCGGAAGAAATGATCTTCAACGAGCTTAAAGAACTTAACTTCGAAATAAATACAGTAACACGTCTACAAAACCGTTTTAAAAATCCTACTCCAATTGTCGCCATTCTGCTCAAAAAATTATCACCGAATATTTACTCTTTAAATAGATTGTTACACTGCGTAGTTTCAGTAAAACCAAGAAAACCCTCAACAGGCATCCCTCAGTGCACAAATTGCCAAAGATTCTCGCACACTAAAAAACGTTGTCATTTACCGCCTAGGTGTGTTAAATGCGCGGGCGACCATCATTATACTCAATGTCAAAAAATTCTAGAAACTCCCGCTAAATGTGTCAATTGCGACGGCAATCACCCAGCTAGTTAAAGAGGCTGCATGTTTTATAAAGATATAACAAAAAACAAAAATAAAACCGTTACTAATCCTCGTCATAACAATAACAATAATAATAAAGATAACACTAATAATCATTTCACATATGCCTCTGCTTGCAAAAATAACTCCAACAGAAATTCAACAAACAATGCAGATAGCGACAACGGCTTCATGAAAACACTCCTACCACTTATAAACGAATTCATCACTCAACACATGCAGAAAATAATTGAAAATCTGCCAGTCATCATAAATAGTCTAAATCAAAACACTCATGGCTCCATATAACGCAATCTTACTAAATTGGAACGCCAACGGTATCAAAAATCACAGGAACTCTTTACTAGCATTTCTTAACCACCACAACATTGACATAGCTTGCATAACCGAAACACATTTATCCCATACGGACATAATTAAATTCCCCGGCTATAAAATGTGCAGCGCGGATCGGAATACACCGGAACACACCGGCACGCTCTATGGGTGGTGTAGCTATACTGAATATTACTGATTCGCAGCAAAATTAAACACCACCACATTCCCATACCTGTTCTTCAGAGCTTAGAAGCCACAGCAGTGCTAATTAATTTTAATACTCGTTCTATCCTAATCGTTAGCACTTATCAACCTCCAAGCCGTACAATGCACATCTCCGATTACGTCAAAGTAATGCACCTATACAATAACAATGTAATGGCCGGTGATTGAAATTCAAAACATATTAATTGGGGATGCCGCGTCACGAATCCAAACTGTAATAATCTACAAAAATTCATATCTACCTCTGCATATATATTCTGCACCAAATACACCAACATATTTTCCTTCAGAAATGAATAGACTTCCCGACATACTAGATATTCTAGTAACCAAATCAATTCAGTTCAGCGTCACACTAGAATCCCTCTCTGAACTTGATTCGGATCACAATCCAGTCAAAATACATTTAAATTCTCCATTGAAATTTTACCGCTCAAATAACTCATTGTTCAAAGGTAAACCAAACTAGAGAATTTACTCGGACTATTTAAATAAAAAATTTAATATTCCTAAAAATATAAATACTGTCTTAGCAGCAGACAAAATGGCTGAACAAGTCGTTATTAACTCTGCATGGGTGTGCTCGGATACCTCACCCCCCCCCCCCCCCTAAATCAAATTCAAATTAATCACGGTGCCTTACCACTGTTCATATTGAAATTAATCCAACAAAAACACAACGCCAGACGCGCTTGGCAAAACCAGAGAAATTCTGCAGCCAAAAAAATGTTAAACAAGCTTACTAAGGAAGTGCAAACCGCCTTGCAACAATTTCGAGTAAATTCATACAGCAAGTTCTTGTCAAATATTCATCAAAATGACTCTAACTTATGGAAAGTCACAAAAAAAATATTAAACCAAGAGACAAACTGCATTCCTTCTCTTCGCACAACAACTCGTCTCATCATATCTGACGAGGATAAATGCAAAGTTTTCTCGGAAAACCTTTTGACCACTTTCTCCCCGAACCAATACGCACACAACACTAATGACCTCAGGGTTGAAGAAGTTCTGTGTTCACTAAACTTCTCTGTACAAAACTCAATCAAGTTTGTTACTCCAGGCGCAATGAAAACAATAATCAAAAGACTACCTAATAAAAAAATCTCCTGGTCACGACAACATCACTAACCTTATGTACAAACAACTACCTATTGAAGCAACTATGTTCATGACTTCCCTATTTAACTCGCTTCTTCGTCTTGGTCACTTCCCGGATAACTGGAAAAAAACAATCATAATCCTCATAAAAAAACCTGGGAAAGAGAAAACAGACCCTGACAGACCCATTAGTCTACTAACATCGTTATGTAAGATTTTTGAAAACGTCATTCTTTCTAGACTGCAAAATTACCTAAATTAACCACTCTAATTTAAGTCTCTAACTATATTATCATTTAACGTAAAATTGTATTAATTAATTATCGCACTTAATCAAGCCAAAATGTTTTAATTATCCTTTCATCTCTAGGTATAGATAGGAATACCTACCCTATTGTATAAAAAAATATATAATATTATAATGTATAGGTGCTTAAAAATGTTTTGGTACCATCAAAGATGTACAAGTATCCCATATTAGAGCATAATAAAAAAAGAGGTTTAAGGTTCCAAGCAAAATGGTTTGATGAATTTCCTTGGCTTGTGTACTCAGAAATTAAAAGTGGCGCATTTTGTCAAAAATGTGTTATATTTTCAAAAACTGGTGGTGCTTTAAAACAACCCCTTGGCCAGCTTGTATTGCGAGAATTTAATAATTGGAAAAAGCTAGAGGTTATTAAAATAAAAATATTGTATATTTTGGAAATATTTATTTAAACCATTATTTTCACTATGAAATTGTTTAGGTGTTTCAAGATCATTGTAAATTAACTTATTATATAAATGCTACATTAGATGCAGAACATTTTCTAAACATATTAGAGAAAAGAGAGAAAAGCATAATTGAACAAATAGACAATTATAGGTTTGTATAATATTCTCATTAGTCTATGTATTAATTTAAAATTAATTAAACATTTTTTATTTTAGGAGACTTCAAATAAAAGAAAACAGAAGACATTTAATTCCTATAGTTGAATGTATCATAATGTGTAGTAGACAAGAATTAACATTACGTGGTCACAGGGGAGAAACAAATAAAACATTGAGTGTGAATGATGGTTAGTGTATATTATTACATACACTGTGGTTTTATTACAATTTTATAATATACATTTTAAATTGTTTACATTGGGAATTTCCTTTCTATATTGAAGTATAGAGCTAAAGGAGATGAATTTTTAAGAAGTATATTAGAGAATGAAAAACAACTCATCAAATATTTGAGCCATGGCATTCAAAATCAGAGTATAGAAATATGCAATAATATAATATTAAAACAAATTATATCTAAAGTTAATGAAAGTAAGTGCTTTTCAATTTTAGCCGACGAGACTACAGATATTTCTTCATCAGAACAGTTGACCTTATGTTTGCGATATATTGATGAAGATGGTAATTTAAATGAAGATTTTCTTAAGTTTATTGAAGTAGAAAACTTAACTGGTACCTAGTAATTTATCTTCTGCAATACTAAATGGTAATAAATAATAAATAAAAATTTGTATAAGAATAGTTAAAGTATAGTTATAAACACCTATACATTTTAAACTATTTCATCTGGTTTAATCGAGTGTGGCTTGGATTGTCAGTACTTAAAAGGACAGGGTTATGATGGAGCCAGTAATATGAGTGGAAAATGTTGAGGTGTACAATCATATGTTCAAACTCAATATCCTTAAGCTGTATATGTACATTGTGCTGCTCATTCACTAAATCTCGCAGTTTCAACAGCCAGTGATATACAACAAAAAAGAAATTGTTTAGGAGTTATTGAAAAAATGTATACTTTTTTTAATAAGCCCAAACGAAGCGCTGTCATATATAATGTTATTGAACAAGAAAATGCAGATTTAAAAATTAAAAAGACTGTGCATCTAAGTGGATTCAAAGATATGATTCAGTGAATGATTTCTCTGAATCACTAACATATGTTACTTATGCTTTCTTTGGACGAAATATCGGAATGGAAAGATTCGTCTGATGCGTCCATGTTAAGAAATGCAATTGATACTGAATTTTTAATTTAACTGTTTGTCATAAAAGTATGCACATTAAAAGGAATACAGATTTATTTTATTATATTTTTTATTGGTATACTTGTAAATAATGCACATTGAATTTATTAATGTCTGTTGTAGGAATTATTTTCATTTGGATTACCATTATGCAAGCAATTACAAAGCCAAAGAATTGATCTAAAATATGCCATAGAGATTGCACAGGATACAATTACTGCTTTAAAAAATATCAGAGAAAATGTTGAGGAAGAATTCAAAGTTATACCTATATAGTTCCACGTAGGTAATACTTATATTATCTAAATAATACTGAATATATTAATGCATGTAATATAATTAATTTTTTTTATTACATTTTCATGCGTACAGAAAATGTCAGATATTATTAATGTTGAAATTAAGAGAAAACGTTTAACTAGTAAGCAGAAAAACAGGGCAAATCATAACTTCAATGAAGAAAATCAAGAGCTAGAAGATTATTTTAGGATTTCTGTGTTTATTCCCTATATTGATTATTTTATATCACAGTTACAATTAAGATTTCTAGCACATAAGCAAGTTTTTGAAGGTAAATGTAGAATTTTAATTTTTGTTAATAGATATCTTGTGGCTTAAATGTATTTTTAAATTATAGGCTTTGAATGTTTATTTACAACAAATAGCTCTATGTCGTCTGAAGAACGGAATAAATTCCAAAAATTATTAGAATTTTATTCACCATTGGTTAATCATGATGTTTCTACAGCTACATCAGAGTTTAAGCTGTAGAAAACCAAACTTTCAAGAACTAATTCAGTTCCTAAAACCAGCATTGATGCACTTGCATTATGTGATAAAAAAATATTTCCCAATGTACATTACTTGTTAAAAATTCTTTGAACATTGCCCGTTTCCACAGCTACCCTGGAAAGAATGTTCTCGACATTAAAAAGACTTAAAACTTACTTGAGAAATTCTATGGTTCAGGTATTTATATAATATATATTAATGATAAATAAATTTTAACATATTTTTATTTTATTTTATTTTTTTTTGATGTACCTAGAAGCGACTGAATGGGCTTGCCATGTTGTTTGCAATACAAGTAAAACCCGATGAAGTCATTGATGCAATGGCACAGTCATCAAGAAAATTTAATCTTGTATTGTAAATTTAATATAGAATAAAGCTTATATGCCTATACATATTATGTAAGAAAATATTTTATATCCCCCCCCCCCCCCATGAGAAAATCCTAGATCCACCACTGAGTGAAAGAGCATTCACAACAAAAGTTGACAAAAGTATATCAAACGCTACTTTTCTGTACCATTTTATTGACCTTTTTAAAGGACTTGAATAAGATGCCATTTAGTCTGAACGATCTATAAAAGATTTTCCAACGTTATAATTTTCCACCGCAAGAGGTTTTTTTATTATATATCCAGTTCTTCGTCGTATTTCTGTGGTTTCATCAGTGTTTTTAGTCGTTATTAAGTATATTATATCACGTTTATCTCGTTTACCGTACAATGTAGAAATAACAACGCAGTCAACAGTGTACACTGCCGTACACATTTTTTAATTGACTTCACTCAATTTCTTTTAAAATTATTTTAAGATAAACTTATGTCGACAACCTTGTACCTATTAAATGTTTAGCCTTTTATACAAAATAGTTCATAAAATGTTGACTACAAAAAAATGAGCAAACATTTGTGATTTTGACAAATGTTGTCAATATTTGAATTTTGAACTTCAGACTCTTATAAAAAAAAATTATACACATTTTATATCAGTGAAGTGATTCTAAAATTAAATTGAGTAAACAGAATGCCAATCTAAAGAACTGGTGAATGTATCAAGTTTCTACAATTTATACTTTTTGAATAATAACAAATATCTAATGTCGTTAGAGGATAAATCGTTAATTTGGTAAAAATTTAAATTTCAAACGTTCTAAAAATGTTATTCTATAATGAAGGTGGAGTTTTTTTTATAGTTATTTGAAGAAAAACCAAACCTCTTAAATTGTGTTTTTTAACCTTGGTATAATTACTTAAAATTTTAAATATTAAGAATTTTAAACTACAAAATTACTTGTATATTTTCTCGATTTTGACATAATTCGTAAAAATTTGAACTTTATAAACACATAAAAAAAAAATTATGACTGACGAATATTGATTTTATTTACCTGCAATAAGGTACAACTTATAAAAACCTTGTAGGTATTAAATTTCCATGAATTCTTTGAACTAAAAATTCTATCGCCATTTCAAAAAAAAAAAACCTTAGAAATTTCGAAAATTAAAATTGTATATAAATAGCTCAAAAAAAGTCAAAATATTTTCAAAACTTAACAGTGTATAGGTATTGCAAATATAAGCATTTGGGGAATATACCACCATTCGTTTTTGAGTTACAGCATTTTAAAAAAAGGTGGGCAAGTGGGTGTCGCTCTGCTGTATCGTAGGTTACAACTTACAAGTGGGTCACTGTAATGGATGGTGATAATTTGAATTCAATGATATAATATCATTGTATAAGAAAAACGATTCTGAGCGGAAACGGTCAGTCAGCCTTAAATTTTAAATTTGATACATTTTGTCAAAATACGAACTTTAAATGCTTATAAAAATTTTTTTTAATATTTTCAAAGTTTTTCAACTGCTATTGTAACAATATATCAAAAGCCTTGCATTCAATTTTCACGCTTTTTTACCCAACGAATAAGTTTTTATTGATTTTTATAGAAAATAAAATTAAACAAATTGACAATTGACAATGTCCGTAAACAGCTCAAAAAGAGTCAAAACATTTTAAAATTTGTATGGTGTATATTAAATGCTAATATAAACATTCAGTGAAATTTCCATGTACTTACAGTATTTGTTTTAGATATGCAAAAAAAAACCAAAATCGATTTTCATGAAAATAGATTTTGCGTAAAAGCTTTTTCTTAATTTTTCTTTTGTTTTTCACATCGCTTTTGGAATGTACTGAGGCATTTTTACTTTTGACCCCCGAAGTACCAACATGATTCACTTTCCTATCAGAAAATATACTGTTAAAGGAAATCCAAGCAATTTTTATTATCCTAAAACATCCTGATGACAGACACAAAAATTAAAAAGTTAAATTAATAAAAACACATCATTGTAAAATCGCACCACTCAGAATCTAAAAATCGATTTTGGGTTAAAATTCTAGTTTTTTCCGCTACTTTTTTAAAAACTTTTGAAAATTATTGGAAATTTTTTATATTTCCCCCCCCCCCTCCCGCAAAGTACTAACAAGTAATTTTAAAAGAGGTAAAAGATTCCAAATTTTATAGTGTGGTATTTGATGAAACGACTGATATAAGTCATGTATCTCAGATGTCTCTTATATTGCGATATATTATTATGGCGTAGTGCAAGAAAATTTTATTTAATTTATTAACTGCCATGCATATACATACAGTATTCAAGAAGACACTGACAATACCATATATGAACCTAAACTTACTGGTGACATTTTGGGTAATACAGTAATTAAAATATTAAAAGAATTTTCTTTAAACCCGGACTACTGCGTTGGGGTTGGTACAGATGGTTATTCAGTAATGGTGTCATCAATCCTAGGAGCTGTTAAAACTATTCAATCAATCGCGAAGAATGCTGTTCACAGTTCACTGTCCTTGTGCTAACCATGCCTTAAATTAAGCTATTTCTAAATCATCAACCGTACAATGTATTAGAAATAATGTTGGTCTATTAAAAGAAATAATCTCGTTTTTTAATATGTCTTCCAATAGAAACTTTGTACTAAAAACCGTTTTAAATGGCAAGCATCATTTAAAAAGTCTTTGTGAAACGCGATGGGTGGAACGCCATGACAGCATAAAGATTTTAATTATTTCAATTGAAATATTATCTAACTAGCTTAGAGTCACAGCTCCAATTAGTAAAATACTTCAACGAACAGATAATGATGTTTTAGCTGCATTTGATTGTATTCAAGATGTTATAAGTATTTTGGAAAATAAACGTACACAGTGTGAAAAAGTTTTTCAACAATTATTCGAAGACAGCAGTTTATTGATGAAAGATCTTGACATTGAAATAAAAACTCCAAGACTTTCTAAACACCAAATTAATCGCTCTAATCACCAATCTAAGAGTACCGAAGAATATTACAGGGTGTCTGCATTTATACCATTATTAGACAATGTATTAGAAGACTTAAAATCAAGATTTAAAAAAAATAAAAATAAAAACAATAATGATATTAATTCAACTTATCCCAAAACATATTATTCATATTGATGACAAGATGATTAACACAGTCACAGAAACTATAATAATAATAATAACAATTTTATTAACGGAATAAAATTCCAATTTACAATAATAAAAATAATGACAGTTTCATAGGTGTGTGTTATACTAAAAAATTAAACAAATTAAATAAGAATGAGAGAAAAAAAGTGAGAAAAAAAAAAGAATATAATATGTATATTGTATATATATAGAGAAATTAAAAGTTGGACAATTGATTATATAACAATTTGATTAAAATTAATATAATAGTAGGTAATAATCTAAAAATGACAGTAACACATTATAAATTTGATGATGAAGCATTAGAAGAGTCACAATTGAAATCTGAAATAGAACTTTGGAAAGAGAAATGGAACAGAATAAAAAGTAAAGGTAATGTAATAATATTTTATGGTCTAACATTACCAACTACAAATTTATTGAAAAAAATTGTGTTATTTTAATGTATAGATGGAGTGGTTCTTACTGATGCATTAACATCTATGGACCAGTGTAATGAAATATTATATCCAAATATTAAAAAAACACTAAATTGTATTGCTTGCTTGCCTGTTTCTGTAGCTTCTGCTGAGCGTAGTTTCTCAACATTAAGAAGGTTAAATAGTTATCTATATTCTATATTATATGCTTTTGCATCATGAATGATTATATTATATTTTAATTTATATTGCTTTGTACTTTTAGATAAAAAACTTGGTTAAGGTCAAACATGGGCTAAGAACGCTTGGTTGGGTTAGCTTTGCTTAATATTCATAGACACAGAACAGTTGAAGTTGACAAAGTTATTGATTTATTTGCTGGCAGTAAAAAAAGATATTTAGATTTTGTTGTAAAATTCATATTTTATTTCAGATTATATTATAATTTATAACCATAAAAAATTGTGCAATTAATTTATGCCCCCCCCCAAAAAAAAAAAAAAAAAAAAAATGTTTCACAGGTACGCCACTGAACAAGTTCCTTATACAAAAGTTACTGAAATCAAAAATTAAATCACTAGGTATTATCATTGATTAAATATACATAGATAGACCAAGTGATCGGAAAAATCGTTAACGCTTTATAAAGTGAAATAGTAGCCAGAAATGTAGTAGTGCGGGAGCAAGGCCAATAGGTTGCGCTCAAGGACGTATATAGGTACCATGTATATACGTCCATGGTTACGCTGTTAGTAATTTGTTTAATTTTTTAATTTGGGAAAATGTTTTATTTTACCAAGACGATGGTGTATCAAGGTGTCGTCACTGGCTTGAAAACTTGATTGAAAATTTTACTACAGATAGTCATCACCACCGGGAGCGATGTATGCCCTAAAGAGGCCTAAAACGAATACTTTTGTACACCGAAGCCATACCTATATGAAAAATGTATTAGTTACCTATTAGTTATTCACTAAATTATCATACATAATGATTTCAGAGTGTTACATTAACAAATAATAATTCATAATTACATGGACGTAAATAGGGAGGGCCAGAGGGGGTTTAGACCCCTCTGAGCCATCTTAATCCCTCTCTAAGATATGTACATAATTTTAACACTACATATTTTAATATATAGCCAATCTTTATTATAATAAATTATACCTATAATTTATGAGCTAAAAAATGTGCTATGAACAATTATTAAATATAGGTACTCTACGACTCAAGGAATCTACTGGAATAATTTTAGTAATTTAGTATTTATAATATTACCTATGCCCCATAGGGCTATCCAAAATTCAAATGCATACATTTTTAATACCTTTTTATAAGCATTTATTACTTGGTTGTACCTATATAATATTATTATATTATATTAACAGAGATTCTGCTGATAGCAAAATATATGCTAAATGCTTGATAGATTTATATGGTCATCATAGATCAGTGCTTCTCAAGCTGGAGGCATGGCTATATACTGGCATGGCTATTTTATTTAAACTATTTTCTTTAGGTCTTAAAAAAAAAAGTATGAGTACTAAAAACATTAATTTACTATAATTTTAATAATTGATCTGTGTGAAATAGTACATGTAATTTTTGTATATAATTAAGAAAAAATAATTAATGATTTGATTAAGGGGCCTTGACAGTTTTATGCTCTTGAAAAATGAACTCATTCTTTCTTCCTTGAAAATCTTTAATTTAAAGATTTCAACTAGGTTGCAAATATCAAAAGAAGTGACTAATTATACATCATAATATTTTATAATTGATGTTTACTTGATAAAAATATTTAAAACAAAAATGCAAATGTAAATTATAATTACAGGCTCCAATTATTATAAATTATAATATATATTAAACGCTAACTTCAAAAAAAAATAACATTTTAATTCATAGTTTAAAGGCATTTTGCATTTAACAGTATGGAAAAATCGGCCTTCATAGGACAGGAAGCTCCCTCTGGTGTCTATAGAACTGTGGTAAAATGTTCAATCAAAAGTGTGTATGTATCCAGAGTGACGACACCTTATCAATACACCTTGACCAAGACCAAATAGCTATCGCCTATCGGCTATATGTTATTAATGTTAATTGATATCACTATCATTGTGGATACTGGATTTGCCGAATTTGAATTTAAATTTGCAACGTTATTAATTATTATATTTTAAATTGTCCATGTTTAATATAATAATAATATAATAATATTACATTTTAAAATGTCCCGTGCTAAATAATTATGCCCTATAAATGTTTTGCGTATGGTCGTAATAATGTCGATGGAGTGGACAAAAATATTAAGTTATTTAGGTAAAATTATAAATATTTAATAAAAAAATTATTTATGTATTATTTTACTTATTTTCTTTTCAAGATTTCCTTTGAATGAAGCCACGGAAAAAGAATGAGTGAATGCCATCCAGAGAAATGATTTTAAACCATCCAAGTATAGTAGACTGTGCATTGCACATTTTAACCCCAATAATTTTGTTGAAAATCCAGACAGATTAGTATTAAAAGAAGGTATAGTTCCTAGTAATTTTAATTATCCTGCCACTCCCATTAAAAAATGCATGAAGAAAAAATAACTGGAAATGTTTATTCTCCAGTGCTTAATTAAATAGTTCAGAATAACAGTCATCCAGGTATTTTAACCAATTATCACTTAGGTACCTATCTATATATATAAAGTACAAATGTTAATACTAAATTAAATTATTAGAAGATTTAACACCTTTAAATGAAATGGATACAGCAATTGACTTAACATATTATGGACCCAGTGAGTAAAAATTTGTAAATTTAAAAAAATATATTTAATATATTTAATTTTATTTTAGATACTAGTCTTTCACCACATACACCGACATATACACCTTCTCTTCAGAAATAGCACATTCAGTTTCCACGAGCTGATCCATTTTATATCCAGTATCCACGGCCTGATCCATAATATATCCAGGTTCGACAGTTTCTATGTCATTATCATTCTCTGAAGATATACAATTGTAAAATTAAATAAAAATGTATTTAATTTATTAATTGTAGATAGTTACCTGCGTAGTTGTCCAATGGAATTTCTTCAATCAAAAAATCTTTGTTTTTGCTCCAAAGATTAACTATTTGTTGTAGCTGTCTGCTGACATATCCTTCTTTCAAAACTGAATTGAGAAACTTCTGACAAAAGTTCTGACATTTTTGCTGTGTGGATGGATGCTTTTTTGTACTTCTCAGGTGCTGTCAATTTTTGATTCTTTTTTGGATGTTGAATTCGAATTGCTATGTTTGAATCTGTCTGTTCAGGAGGATTATTTAAGATTTTTTGACTGTTAATGTAATAATTCCTCGTCCACCTTACATCCCACAGATTTTCAACAAATATGGGGTTGTTTGTTTCTCTCCTTTGATTAATGATATGTTTGCATGGTAATTTCATAGACTTGTAAAAACTACACGAACATGAATCAAGAGTTGTCTCTTTTAGAACCTCTTTCGTTTTGCAAAATAGATTTTTTTTATGAAATTAAAAGCATACGGAGTAAGATGTTTGTAATATTTTTCTTCATCTATGTTTTGAAATATTGATGTTGGTATTTTTTGAACTACCTTAATTGCACAGTGATCCTGTTCTGACCGAATACATTTTAAAATAATAAAAAGTTTTTTAAAGAACTCTGGCAGATTAGAATACACTGGAATGACTGATTTAGTTTTGAATTAAAACTTTCTAATCTATTATTAGTAGAATTAAAAAAGTTTCCAGACCCACTCGTTAAACCGGTCACCCATTCACCCGTTATTATGCACTAGTAATTCAATCGTACATTTATATACATTTTTAATCTCTTCGATTGTGCCTTCGAAGTTTTTTGGTCTGTGCTTTAGTTTTTCTATGAAATAATAAATGTTAACATTGTAAACAAAAATAAAAACTTAATTTTTTTTTTATAACTACCTGTACTATGTATATTTGACAAATCCTTAAGAGTAGGTAACTTTTTTTCCAGTTTCATCATGAATTTTCGATTGGATTAACTTCTTATTAGCTTTCATGTCCATCAATTAAATTACTTCAGATTTGGTTTGAGGAGCTAATCGGCGCTGATTTGGTAGATTTGAAAACAACATTGAAGACATTGCATGATTATGGCTTTCATCCATTTGTGCAATTTCTAATTTTGAACCATCACTAGTTACTCGTATATATATGAATGCAGGACAATTTTGCTTCAAAGTCCTAGATAATGGTTCGTATGTATTTAAAATAATTTATAAATAATTTGGTAATTAATAAACACACTTACGATGTGGATCGTTCCTCCGTGAACACATTTTGATTTTAAAAAAAATAATATTTTAACGAATCCGGAGTATTTTTTAATTTTTGCGTATATTTTTTTCGAGCTACATTTTAAGTCCGACAATCTGAAATTGAAAAATTACAAAAAAAAGTTTTTTTATATTCCTCAAACTTATTTTGAAAATCAAAATATGAGGTAAATGTCTGACCAACTTCCATCATATTCATATTAATAAATAAATTAAATTAATTTAAAAAAATTAAATGAGAAAAACACTGTAAAACCACCAGACAACTGTGGAGAAAAACACTGCGCAAATAACTGTAGAAAAAAATACTGCAAAAACAAACCACTGTGGAGTAAGACACTGCAAAAATAGATCGTGGAGAAAAACACACGAGTAAAATAAGGTGAAAAACCACGAAAATTCAAAAAGAAAGGAGCTTTTTATTGGTCGGCCATCCTTATCTTAGGGCGTATAGACACAGCGTACATTTTATATTTGATTTTTCATACTTTATACTGTTGACTTTGATCAAAACCTATATAACATAACTGTTTGTTTAATATAAAATAAAAGTATAATACATGTATAGTACAAATGAGAAAATAAATTATGATTTTTCTACATCACTATAGTTGAAGGTTATAAATATTTATTTAATTTTGTAGGGAATACTGATTTATTACACCTTGTTGAAGCAGATTTATACAAAAAGCGAATTTGTGAGCATCATTTTGTAGAAAACATTTTCACAATTTCTAATAAACAAAATTTAAAAAGATCTTCAAAAAATTAAATTGTTCACTGCAGTAGAAGATGACATTTTACGCGTTACGTTACCAAAAACAACGTACAAAAATAAACAAATTTGTTCTTCATTAAGTCCATGTGTTGTTGTTACAATAAGAAAACTATCATCACCAACAAATTGTTCACCGTCAAAAATAAATTC